TCCCGCAGTGCTATATTAACCCTGGAATTGCCAAAAAAGGTGCAAAGCACAATAGTATATATTTCGGCAAATTACTTATGTACTGTTTGAGTCACAATTTTTTGCCCCTGTGTTCAAATCTTTCAACGCATTATACTGATTTCCCTCCTAGTTTCGAACGGGCTATTTTCGATGATTTTTATAAACTAATAATATAATCTTCCATGGTCGTCTCATCATGTACCCGTACTGTACAGTATGTGGCGCGAACTTGAATCATCAACGCCATCAAGGTCCAGGAGATGCAGATACGCTGAATATAAAATTATGGTCCCATTCGATCTCGAGGAGGGTGCCTTAGGAGCACGAGCGGCAGTATCAATCGTTACTTGATGAGCGAAATATATAGTCATCTTACAGGAGGCCGATTCCATGTAACGTTAAGCTTATGTTGAGGAATGTAGGCCTTTCAACACGAACTTGGCAATTTGGTTGCACAGTGGGATGTGTGTACGTTAGCGTCGTAACGTTTCCAAGTCACCCATATTGACGAATCCTCAAGCAAACTTTTAACGCCAAATTTTTCGGCACAACAAGCCAGACTAACAGTAAATTAACATCACTTTATTCTGGCCACGTATTGTAGCATGACTTGATAGTACTTTTCATACGGCATTGGTCAACCATTCGTCTCGATCATCAACCAAACGAATGACAAATTAGAGTTCCAACAAATTTATAACTGCAAAACTTAATATACTGTGCAAATTGTTCAAAGTTGGCAACCCGGGAGGGAAAGTACGTACTTCGATATTATGCGAAAGTGCTTGAAACGAGGAATTTGGGCTACACTCCCTATGAATTTCAACTTACTACTATAAGCTGTTACAGGGTAAATGAAAACCAGTAACTGTACACTATTAATAGTACAACGTGGTACGTCGCAATTGTGAGCTTGTGCTTCGGTGTTTTGGGGTTTCGCGACCCAATGCCAGTATATACAATAACATTAAAATATGATGCTCAATTGGGATTGATTAATCAAATTGATCGCGTTTGGTCAATGCAGTTCCCACAGTCTCGACGCAAGTACTTCGAACCAAACTTAACACTAGCTGCAGTTGACGATTGGAATAGATTGGCTGGCTGCCAAGCAACTATACAACATGTCAGGACATAAAAACGTAATGGCAATCTCTTACCGCAAAATATACCTGCCGAACGCACAGTGCTCGTCGGTCGAAGAGCGTTGTTGTTGCATTCAATGTCGCCTCAGATATACCCAATATGTTTCGGATCTTGATTTCTGTTTGAAGCCGGTAAAATTCGAGCAACTCTGCGAGTTCGACCGAGCAAGTCGAATCCGTATCGATTGCTTGTAGTACGCCCCATATATCGTCCTTGACAGTACACATTCCAGAACCTTCTGAACCACCAGAGGATGACTTCGACGTAAATAACGGTGTCGGTGGTGAGGTTGCTGGAAAAAATGTCCAAGTGCCAATGACAAAAGGCGCTTGGGTGGAGGTGGTGCGAGAAGTTGTAGCGGGACTCGCAGGATTGGATGGTGGCGTCGACGTAGCTATAGAAGTCGTACGCGGCAGTGTTATGGGTGCAGCAGTGGTGATGCTAGACGGGGCTTGAGTGGAAGTAGTGGATGACGTTGTAGCCGGACTCGCAGGATTGGATGGTGGCTTCGACGTAGCTAT